GGGCGTCTCCCGGGCAACGGCGTGACGGGGGCGGGGCCGCGCTCGGCGCCATCCAGTTGGTCCCAGAGGCCTGGTGGGGGTGACTGGAGTGGGCCTGGTGTTGACTGGGATGGTCCTGGTGGTGACTGGGATAGTGCTCATGGTGACTGGGATGGTCCCTGAGAGCTCAGCAGGGGGAAGAAGGGGCCTGGAGGTGACCAAGCTACTCCCTAGAGCTCAATAAAGGTCTTGGCTGTGACCAGGCTGGTCCCTAAGGGCTCAACAAGGGGAAGAAGGGCTGGTCCCCAGGAGCTCAAGAAGGGGCCTGGCAGTGGCCAGGCTGGTCCCTGAGAGGTCAGCAAGGAGGAAGAATGGTTCTGATGGTGGCCAAGTTAATCTCTGAGAACTCAGTAGAGCCCAAAGAAGGCCAAGTGTCATTCAGTGCCCTGGGTAGACGTGGTGTTTCAGTACATGGTTTAGTGGTCAGGGGTTGTAGGGCTGGTGGTTGGACTTGATGATGTGGAAGGTCTTTTCCAACCTTAACGATTCTGTGGTGTCATTGGTGAATGAAGAGGGTAGAAAGGGTTTGGGTGCAAAGCCTGGCAAAGGCTTTGGTTCTGTGAGCCAGGCCACCTGCTGTGCCTGAGTGTTTGAGTCCATGTGAGCTTGTGGTTGTAGCTCCTGGTGTCTTCTCCACTGCTGACCCTCTAGCTGTCTGAGGGAGGGTAATAATTTCTGCCTGCCAGATGTTGAAGCCACCTGCAAAGTCCAGAAGGATAATCTGCAGTACCAGCTGTAAATTCCTGGCAAGGAATTTACCTAATCATTGCTCGGATATTTAGTGATAAGTAGTTGTTAAGTGTGTGTTTTGTATTTGGTGTGGCTATTGGCTTGGCCTGCCTGTCTTATGCTTGGTCTGGGATGTGAAGAGGAAGAGCCAGAATTTGCTTCTCTCCACCAGCGTTGCAACAGTTTCAGTGCTGAACTGTGCAAACTAACCTTTCTTTTACTGTTTTCTGTGATTTTTATTTTTATTTTCTGAGGGAAAAGTTTAGATTTGATGTCTCTTAGGCATTTTGTTCTGCACTGAGCTTTCCAATGCGCATCCATACTTTTCATACAATCTCTGAAGCTGCTTCCTGGCTGGCCTTTCAAGCTCAGACTCACATGGAGGTCACAGTCTGTTTCTGTGTCTGCAGGTTTTTCTTACTTGTAAAGAATTATATGTGTCCTGACTGCCTAAAGATGATGATGTTTTGGGTTTTTTTGAGCATCTGTGTAGGAAGGGGGCTGAAAAGTGGTCCTGAGGTTGCTCTTGATCTGTTGAGATGGTGCACAATGGTGAGAGAGATGTCCCAGGGTGGTGTGTTTGTGTCCTCGTGCAGTTGTCATCACACTCAACATATAACCACGGTGGAAGAAAATTGTGGTGAGACACTGGAACAAGTTGCCCAGGGAAGCTGTGGCTGCCCCATCCCTATCCAAGGGCAGGTTGGATGGGGCTTGGAGCAACCTGGTCTGGTGGGAGGTGTCCCTGCCCATGCAGGGGGTTGGGACTAGATGGTCTTTAAGGTTCCTTCCAACTCAAACCTGTCTATGATTCTGTCTCTAATGGAAAGACCTTCCTGGGAGTGGCAAGGAGGTAAAGCTCTGTTTCTAGCAGGCAGAAGGAAATGACTGCTGGTTGTTTTGGGCTCTGAAGAAGATGCCATTCACAGAGGAAGGCCCAGCTTGTGAAAGTCTACCCTGTTTTCATCATCTTGGAGAGAGCTGTGGGGGATCTGGTAGCTACTGAATCTCCCATAGCAACACAGGGATGTTGGAGTCATGGCAGAGTAGGAGTGTGCCGTGACCAATTAAAGGATTGGAAACATTAATTGCTTTAAATTGCCCAAGCCTCATGATGTCGTGGTAGCTAGATATAGAGATATAGATGCAGTTGTTCTAGCTCAGCGAGAATGGACTTCACATAAATGACAGAGCTGTGTTTTTTCTTGGAGACTGTAGTTTAGAAGGGTGGGTGCCGAGATGATGGATCAGCTGGCAGTGCCAGGGAGCTGGTGTGGGTAGGACTCAAGTCCTCTCCAACTGATCAAGAGATCAGTTGCCCAAGAGAGCAATTAGGACAGCAGTGCTCGACTTGTGGCTCTTCAGCAGTCTGCAGCTTTGCAGTGAGTTTTAGGTGAGTGCACCATGTAACTGTGTCAGGGCTGAGCTGGTGTGTGTCCTCCAAGGTGCACCAAATCCCTGCCTGTGGGAGGAGAGGAGTCCAATGCCCTGGGGCCTTGCTGCAGACCAGGCATAGGTCTTCTGTGCAAGAGAGCATCAAGATCCCAAGGTCTGAGAGTCACCTGAGCCTGTGAACCATTCCCTCAGTGCCCACCCTCCAAGTGCAAATAGTTGGCAACCCCATGGTACCACATGTCTATATTATAGTAGATGTGACTAAGCCATAGCTTGGCTTCCTACCAGAAGTTGCCTCCATGGGATTCCAGACAAGATGAGACAAGAACCTACACTCCCCAGTACGCCCTGGCCCAAAGAAGGAAGAGAAAGACAGTGTTAGCAGAGTTTTGAAACTTCTCTTGTGCTTAGGCTTTCACAAAGTTCTGCAAACACACCTGATCTGTGACCTCCAGTCTATTTGGAGAAATGTCTGGGGATTCCAAAGGTTGCCTTGGCAGCAGGGTAAAAAATGACTGAGACTTATTGTGAGGGAGAAGGGAAAGAATAAAGGGTTAGAGATTTACATGCAGTTAGGATGTGGTACCATGGGAGGAAGTAGGAGAGAGATGAGCTTCAGATGATTTTGATACGTGGTTGGTTGTGGTGTGCTCTTTCAGCATGGCTCTCTGTAGGGTTTTCAGTGCAGGACTGAACTCCTGGGTGTTGAAACTGCCCTGCTGGTATTGCAGGCATCAGATCATACCCTAGTGCATTGTGTTTATTGAGTTCCACCTTAAAATGTGTTATTGTAGCAGATTTCTATGCCTTCCTCAGGTGGATGTTGATCGTTCCCAAGGGTTTGCAGTGGTGTCAGATGGTGATAGAATTTAACAGTATCACCTGAATTCACCCTAATATTTTTCAAATTACCTCCTTCCTCTTGTTCCCTCGAGGTGAGCAAAGACTGGGAGTTAGGCAGCTGTGCCTTCAGTGGCAGGGAAGGCA